AAAAGAAAAAAAAAAAAAAAAAAGAAACATTTTCTTTTTAAATTCCGCCTATTTATTGTCTATTTTTTTCTATATATATGTTTCTTTTTTTTCCTCCAATCTCCTCTGCTTATACCTTCCAACTACCAATAATACTGACAAGCGGTCCTCAGATATGCTAGTTAGATTCAGAAATCCCTAGCCTAGAACATACTCAAATATTCGCACTTTTAATTTCAAAGATTTTTGCAAACCTAACATGATAGCAGTTGTACTAATACAGTTTGTTGATTAAAACAGAGATAAAAAACTAGTAGACTGCAATAATATGTTAAAACAGAGTTGCATTTTATTAATCACAATAGCATCTACCAGTATTTAAATAGGTAGGAGCACATACTGAAATATATATTATTTAGTTGGCCTATAGACAATGTTTGGTATGCATAGCAGACTGAAAACCAAAGTTGGGGCCTCAAGTGTTGGTGTTTAACAGAATCACCCTGTCAAGCTGCCAGCACTAACCAAGTCTTGTCTGTATTTCAGCATTTGTCCAATAGATGTCCCCACTCTTCTATCAAAGGAAAGCTACAGCAAAACAATACAAAATCTAAGAATAAGCAGTCACACAACAATGTGATCTGAGTACAAACAGAAAATACAATACTTAATTGAAATCTTACTTTTTATCTTTCAGCTTTTTTCAGGGGAGAATTATTTACCCGCTATCTACAAAATCATGTTCATAAAGAAAATATAGGCAAGACAGCAAGACTCTGTCTCAAAAAAAAAAAAAGTAAAATTACAAATGTTACTATTAATAGCTACAAATGCCATTTTAATACTACCTTATTTCATCAAACCTAAGATGCCACTGATTATAAGACATACTATTGTACATGCTGAAAAGAAATAGGAGAAATGCCTCCAAATAAATCATGGCACAAAACTTTATCATTTGGGGCTTTGTGTGTTTGTTTTTTTGTTTTTGAGGCAGAGTGTCACTCTGTTGCCCAGGCTGGTGTGCAGTGGTGCAATCCCCACTCACCGCAACCTCTGCCTTCCGGGTTCAAGTGAATCTCCTGCCTCAGCCTCCCAAGCAGCTGGGATTATAGGCATGCTACCACACCCAGCTAATGTTTGTATTTTTAGTAGAGAAAGAGTTTTGCCCTATTGCCTAGGCTGGTCTCAAACTCCTGGCCTCAGGTGATACCCCTGCCTTGGCCTCCCAAAATGCTGGGATAACAGGAATGAGCCAATGCACCCGGCCTAGAATTTTTACTTAATACTGATTGCAAGAGTTAGTTTTTTAAAACTTATTTAAACAGAGTTTAATCATATATCATCATAAACTGTTTTCATAACTTTCTCCATACCCAGTAATTTCCTTTCAATGCTGATTCACAGAATATTCACATAGACACACTGAACAACAAAGTTAACATGGGAAATACCAACAATGCTCATACCTCAGCTGAGATGACAACAAAATGAATGGCCATGGTTATTATATCTGTGAATACACGGGCAAATAAATATACCAGGACTGCTGCTTTGCTGATAGAGACTGTTACAATGAAACCAAGTGTTAAGACTTAACTCAATTTCATTGTTAAAATAGGGAAAGCTGGGACCTTTAGAATTGATTAGATGCCAATTTTTTAAAAGATGGACAATAATTCAATAAATAATGAAATTTTTGGATACCCTAACACTGCTAGCCCATAATTCTCTCTGCTTCTGGATATGCTAGTGATATTCTGTACATCTCCAGCAGTCATTTCAAGTCCCTATTCCCTAACCTAGATTACAGCAGTTAAATTACTCCTTTGTTCATTCTTGTCTCTCCTTCCTCCATTTATTCTCAGCACAACCAGAGTACATTTTTAAAGCTAAATCAGATTGTGTCACTCCCTTGATTAAAGAGTGGAATGGTTTTCCCTCCCATTTTGAATAAAATTGTTGCATTATCTGCAAGGACCATAAAGGCAGGTACTTTTCCTCAAAGACAGCATGGATTTTGTTTTGTTTGCTGCTATATCCTTAGTGCTGTGCACATGGCTGATTTCAATAAACATGTGATGAGTGAATCTGACTCTGGCTACCTCTCCAACTTCGAATCTCATTAAGTCTTCCCCTTATACAGTATATTCTTGCCCTTCAGCCTCCCTCCTGTTTCCTCAAAACTCCTTCCTATGAGGCCTTTGAAACTATTAGTGCTTCTTCATGAAATGATTTTACTCAAATGCTCAGCAAAGCTGGCTTCTCTTCAGAGCTCCACTGAAAGGGCACCTCCTAAAGGACACTTACCCTATTACAAAATCCCCTTCCCAACATAATTAACACTCCACCCAGAAAATCCTACTGAACAGTGCTAATGCCCAGTATTCCACCTTTGCAAGAGAAAAAAAGAAACAGAAATAATGAAGGAATGTATAAATAATAAAAATGGGGCTGGGCATAGTAGCTCACGTTGGTAATCCCAGCATTCTGGGAGGCAGAAGCAGGCAGATCACCTGAGGTCAGTAGTTTGAGACCAGCCTGGCCAACATGGTGAAACCCTGTCTCTACTAAAAATACAAAAGTTAGCCAGCACGTACCTATAAGTCCCAGCTACTTGGGAAGCGGAGGCAGGAGAATCGCTTAAACCCGGGAGCCGGAGGTTGCAGTGATCCAAGATCACACCACCGCACTCCAGCCTGGGACAGAGCAAAACTCTGTCTCGAAAAATAATAATAATAATAAAAATAAAATGGGCCAGGCATGGGCATACTGCCTGTAATCCCAGTACTTTGGGAAGCCAAGGCAGGAGGATTGCTTGAGGCCAGGAGTTCAAGACCAGCCTAGGAAACAGAGAGACAGTGTGTCTCTACAAAAAAAAAATTTTTTTTTTTAATTAACAACACCTGTTAATTGTGTGGTGTTAATAATGTTAATAATGGTGGCAGCATGCACCTGTAGACCTAGCTACAGGGAGGCTAAGGCAGAAGGCTCACTTAATTCCAGGAGTTCAAGGCTACAGTGAGCCATGATCGTGCCACTGCACTCCAGCCTGGGTGACAGAGTGAGACCCTATCTCTAAAAATAAAAATTTTAAATTAAAAAAAAAAAATGACTGGAAGCATACACATAACAAAAGTTAACGGTTATCACTAGGTAACAATACCTTGGATTATAAGCTTTTATTAATCTATTTCCTAATTTTACAATAGATTTCCAGTGTAATAAAATCATGTTTTTAAAAAACAATGATGTTCTACTTCAAAAATAAAAAATGGCCCCCATTGTAAATAAATATTTCAGACTTTTGACAAAAGGAAAAATTATAGAACAACCTACAAACTTAAAAGTATTTTTTCAATTATTATTTTGCTGCTTTGGGAATATGCTATTTTTTTAACCTCCTTCTTCACATTTCATTTAAAAGAAATTATTCAGACTCATACTAATACAAACTGGGGTTTTATTTTCCCCTGCCCAAATGTGAAAATTATCTGAAGTCTGACCATATATAGAAAAATTATGGCTATTAATTTTTTTAATTCAATATAAGATGATTTCTTCCTTTATGTCTTCTTAAAATACTACTTTTCTAATATTTAGAAAAGTAAAAAATTATCACTAGTCACCCAGGTCAGCTAAAAATAAGTAACACCATGTCTCTACATCACTCTCTCCAGCTATGCCTCCATGGCAGCCAATGCTTTTTATCACGTATCTTTTACAGCAAGGCAACAGTTTCCATGGAAACCACAGGGCAAATATCCATTATTGCTGCCAAGGACTTTTATAAGCAAACATAAGCTGAGATGACTGCTTACTCTCTTTTATTAATATTTTTAAATTGAGCAATAGTTAGCTACTCTGATTCTGGTTTTGTTGTGTTTGTTGTCTCTGTGAACAAATCTAGAAATGAGTGAAAAATCAAGAAAATTCTGCACCCCTCTAAGCAACAAATGAACTCTCGAAATCAGGGGAGCAGGAGAGAAAAGACCCAGAAAGTCACTAAGCCTGCATACATACCAGACAATGTCATCCCATACAACAGGGCAAATCAGAATAGAAATCAGTGACGCACTTAAATACAAAAGATGAAATTCTCTTCCAAAAGCACAGCAGAGTACGTACATTAATCGGGGCCAAGATGCTGATTAATCAGGGGAAAAAAAGACAAATCATAAAACTAAAAAAGTAGACACATACCTCTCTCAACATATTGTTCTCTTTTTCCTTCTGCTCTAAAAGGCTTTCTAGGTGGTGAACGTGCATCTCTGCCTCTGCCAGTCGTCTTGTTCTCTCATGGTCTTCCTCAGTAGCCTTGGCAGAAAGTCCTTTGCTCTGCAACATCTCCAGAAGCTTCTTGATGGATTCATCCCTAGCATTTAGGGTCTGCTTTTGAGTCTCAATACGCAGCTCCATTTCCTCCAATGTCTTTCGAAGAAGAAATAGCTCTTTGGCCTGCCGCTCATGCTCAGCATGAAGCCTCTGAAAGTTCTCCTCCGTCAGCTCTGCTACACAAGGTTCGCCAGTCCTACTGCTACTATCTTGCTGAAACAGCTGATTCAGGTCCCTCTGGATCCGCAATTCATCCTGGAGAGCCTGGATCGTCATCTGCATATGCTAGAACCAAGACAAAAAGAAAACCCCAAATCAGCTTTCTTCCTCAAGTAGCAAATCAGAGCAGACTTTGCAGGAATCAAAAATAGCTACAAGAAATCTGCATCTAGCAAATTAGGATTCACCTTAGTCTGTTTTACAGGTCCTTAAAAAATGATTGAGATAACAGGCAAAATGTCAGTAATTTAACTTGGGTTTATTCCCAATAGGAAGCAAAACAGTATGGCACTCCTCACTTTGCATAAACGATAATAAAAAACACTGTTCAAAATTAATAGAAGGTATTACACAGAAACTAAGGTTGAGTGAATGCAGGAAATGGAAAATCTACAGGAATATGAATTCATTCATTCATTCATTTTTCTTCAAAAAAATACAAAGGGTGGCCAGGCATGGGGGCTCACACCAGTAATCCCAGCACTTTCAGGGGCCGAGGCAGGTGGATCACCTGAGGCCAGGAGTTTGAGACCAGCCCGGCCAACATGATAAAACCCCATTTCTACTAAAAATACAAAAATTGGCTGGGCACTGTCACTCATACCTGTAATCCTAGCACTTTGGGAGGCCAAGGCAAGCAGATCACGAGGTCAGGAGTTTGAGATCAGCCTGGCCAACATGGTGAAACCCCATCTCTACTAAAAGTATAAAAATTAGTCAGGCATGGTAGCGCACACCTGTAATCCCAACTACTCCGGAGGCTGAGGCAGAAGAATTGCTTGAACCTGGGAGGCGGAGTTTGCAGTGAGCCAAGATCACGCCACTGCACTCTAGCCTGGGTGACAAAGCAAGACTCTATCTCAAAAAGAAAAAATAACAAAGCATAGCAAAACACAAAATGACTTTTAAGTATTATAAACATTAAATAATAAATATTAACATTTAACAAGTGGTTTGTATATGCCAGATTGTGCCACACATTTTTATGTTATTCAATCTTCATGACAACACATGATGACCTTTATCATTTTATTGCAGTAAAAACCCTTAATATGACATCTACTCTCCTAAGAACTTTTAAGTGTACAACACATTATCGTTGACTACAGGTACAATGTTGTACATTAAATCTCTAGAGCTTATTCATCTTAACCAAAAGTTTATGCCCGTTGATTAGTAACTCTCTATTTCCCCCCATCCCCGGCAACTACCATTACACTTTTTGATTCTGTGAATTTAACTATTTTAGATACCCAACACATGTACTATTACTTAATTTTATAGATAAGCGCACTAGGCTGAGAGAGATTTAAGCACTTGCCCAAGATCACACAGTAAGTTATAGAGCTGGCATTCAAAGCAATCCTTGCAGCCCACTGAAACTAGAACCAAGACAAAAAGAATACTCCAAATCAGCTTTCCTCCTGTAGTAGCAAAAACAGAGCAGACTGAGGAAATCAAAACTAGTAATACCCAAAGATGATAATACAGCAAAGGTTTTTTTAGTTAGAATACGCAAAGCTTTTTATACAGGGGACAATAACAACATGGTGACTAATTAAAGGTGTAAATGCAGATAAACTACTAAAAATGTTTGAGAGGGCATATCTTTAGCTTGTATGCCTAAAGAAATTATATGAACCTTTATTTAGATAAGTAAATTCCAGCACATTATACAATGACTTCCAAAAGGCTGTTACATCAAGAAACTTATCTTTAGGAATGAAGAAGCAACAATAAAAGATCATTCCTTGTATTCAAGGCCTAGGAGTATACCATACTGGGAAGAACACTAAACTGGGATGAAAAAACATGAGTTTTGGTTCTGGGTCTCACACTGACTAGTTATGACATTTAGACATGTCACCATCTTTCTGGGTTTCAGGTTCCTCATACTTTAAACGAGGGTATAAATACATGCATTATCCACTTAAAAAATCTTTTTTTTAAAAAAAGGTACCTGCTGTATTAGTTTGTTTTCACACTGCTGATAAAGACATACCCAAAACTGGAAACAAAAAGAGGTTTAATTGAAAGTACAGCTCCACATGGCTGGGGAAGCCTCAGAATCATGGTGTGAGGCAAAAGGCACTTCTTACATGGCAGCAGCAAGAGAAAATAAGGAAGAAGCAAAAGCAGAAACCCCTGATAAACCCATCAGATCTCATAACACTTATTCACTATCCCAAGAATAGCATGGAAAAGACCAGCCCCTATGATTCAACTACCTCCCCCTAGGTCCCTCCTACAACATGTGGGAATTCTGGGAGATACACTTCAAGCTGAGATTTGATTAGGGACATAGCCAAACCATTATCACCTGCCAATGTTTTTCAGCCTTAAAAAGAAAAAAATTCTTATACATGCTACAACATGGATGAACCTTAAAGACATTGTGCTAAGGGAAGTAAGTCAATCACAAAAAGACAAACACTGTACATATCCATTTACATGAGGTATTAGAGCAGTCAAATTGATAAAGAAGGAAATAGAACAGTGGTTGCCAGGACGTAGGAGGAGGAGGAGGAAATGGGGAGTTACTGTTTAACGGATATAGAGTTTCAATCTGTCAAGATGAAAAAGAGTTCTGGAGAAAGATGGTGGTGATTTCGCAACAACATGAATATACTACTAAACTGCACACTTGAAAATGGTTAAGACAATAAATTTTATGTTATACGTATTTTGCCATAATAAAAAATTAGTTAGAACATGTCTTTCATAGAATTCCACTTATGGATATTTTCTCATTTTTCACTATTTCACTAGATGCACCTTCACATATGTATCTTTATACATGAACCCACATTTTTCTTGAGAAAAAAATTCTCAAAGAAGGAATTGCTGGATCACAAAGTATGCACAATTGTAATTTTGATACATATTACAAGTTATTTCTATATGTATCTTTGTATATATCTACTTTTGTGACTCCTCTCTTCTTGTTCTTTGCCCATTTTGCCATTGAACATTTTTTTCCTAATCCATTTTAAGAGTTCTTCATATCAGGAAAATAATCTTTCACCTGCTGTGTATGTTACAAATATTTTTCCAAATCTGTTATTTTTAACATTTTTATGATGACTTTTAATAAATATTTTGTTTTTTATTATAAAGACAATGACATTTTCCTTTACTATTTCTGGTTTGGGTATTATGCTTTTAGCAAGCAGTGAACTTTCAATTCTGGTAGTCTTCAAACTCTTGAAAAGCACTGCTATTTCTTCAAAGAATAAACTTACAAAAAAAAAAAAAAATCATGGACCAGGTACGGTTGCAGCACTTTGGACCATCCTGGCCAACATGGTGAAACCCCATCTCTACTAAAATACAAAAAATGTGTGTGGTGGTACATGCCTGTAGTCCCAGCTACTCAGGAGACTGAAGCAGGGGAATCGCTTGAAACCAGGAGGCATATATTGCTGTGGGCCGAGATATCGCACCACTGCACTCCGGCCTGGTGAAAGAGCAAGACTCCATCACAACGAAAAAAGTATCAGGTATTTAAATTTACAAATATAAATTTTAAAATGCAATTCATTACCAGCATCATCGTTTAAAGACTAACAGCTGCTAGAGTTCAAAAGACCTTCAATAAAAAGATGCATCAAAATGCTAATTCTCTGAAGCCTACATTCTTTCCCCTGGAAGTCAAAAAAATCCTAACACTCCTGAGTGAATATATCCCAAAGGGAAATACCAGAAGTTAAATTCAACAGGGGAGGTGCTTTCTCGGTATGACTGTTCCTTCTTTTTTGAACATTCATCATCAATTCACTCAAGTCAGGAGAAATATGGCTAGAGCTAATAGTTTCACAAACGCTTTGGCACATATGGCTAAATGTAGCATGGCAATTACTATTTTGGTAAAGAAAGAAAACTACTAATGTGTTTGGTTCTTCAGCTCTGCTTGCACCCATTTTACTATAGTATAAAAATAAAACAATGCTCTGACTGGTAGCCTAGAATCTACACAGCAGTTTTCTCCACTGAAATATAAACCAACATTTCCTCTTTTGGCTACAATCAGGCTAGCTTTATTTTATAAAAATTCCTGCCAACTCCTTCAGAAGAAAAAAAGCAGACTACAAGCCAGCCTACTCTTTCTCCAGCATATTCACACAGAGGATAAAATGGGCATATTCACACATCACAGACATCTATAATGACCAAACAAAAACAGATACATTGAGTTTAAGGAAACATCTAAGTTGTAAGATGTTACTAGAATGTCTATCTGGGAAGTCTGTTTCCAACACACTGCAAATTTTATAGCAACACCCACTAGTCTACTTCTCACTCTAACACTCAGCTTGATTTTAAAGGGCTGGGCAAGTATTTGCCTAAAATTTACTCCAGGGACTGTACTATTATTACACCAAGCAATATCTCAATGAAATGGTAGGATATTGTGAACAACAGCAATGAAAATTCTTAACTATCTGACAGGGACTATGACTTTTATTACAATAATGTATCTGCAAAAACAATGACAGATCACAACTACTATTCTTATATTTTAGATAAATATCAGAAGCTCCTCTGAGGCAGAACTTCCAACAAATAAACTATCATTAGTTTCTTAGAACAAGAGTACACTTTGATCCCATTTATTCTCATTCCTAAAATAACTGGACTATGTAGTCTAGAGATATTTTTAGTGAAAAAAAATTATAGATACATAAAATGGTCATGATTACATATAATATATCACAGAAAACTCAATATACTGTTTATCAAGAAGATCAGAGTCAGAGAAAACTCCAGTATTGCACCCTATTATAAATGTTAAAAACAATTTTTTTCTGAAACATAAATACATGTATGCAAAAGAGTTTTAAATAATTCTTAAGTCAACCAAGTCAAGCTTCCAGTCTCCTTGGGCTATCTGATGTTCTCTGTGCTGCCCAGGGCTGTATGTATATCCATAAAATAGCACTTACCAACTGATCCGCAATTTAATTCTTTGTATTTAACATCAATAAACTTTCTAGGACTTAGGACTGTTATCTTTTTACCCTGGGCACAGCACAGTAATTGACTACCATAAGTATTCAATAAATTTC